CCAGGGCCTCATGGGAAACGAACCCACAGATTTGTTGCTCTCTAATTGACTGTACAGAAAACAAAAAAATAAAAAAAAATCTCTCCTTCCTGCAGCCTGGTAATGCTTTCAGTAGGGAAACATTGAACACAGTGTGACCCTAATAGGTGGCATGTGTTGTGGGGCATCATGGGAGTCAGGCCTAAAGCTGCAGGGCACAACACCCGACCAGACCGAGGACTTGACAGACAGCCAGCAGCCAAACCCAACCCTGAGCAAGCATGACAGGAGGTCAGAGCATGAGGTGAAGTGTGGGTGACAGTGATGAAACCGAGCACCAGTATTGAGCCACATGATTAACGCCCTCATCTTAAAGCAACAAGATCTGCAGTTCACGTTCCCTCTGACAGAGTTCCTGTTTTTTTGTTTTGTTTTTATCATCCAGGTTTTCATCTTGCGCCAACAGGAAATGGTTAAATGTTTACATTTTGAATCATCGCAAACCCGGCCGACCTTTAACACTTCTCCTAAAAAACTAACTCTCAGAGACGGTGTAAATAATAAGTTGGATAACTGAGGCTGCTTAAATAAGCGGATCGCAGTGACGACTGCCATCATTCACTGCCGGCACATGATGAGCTCATTCATGACTGTCATTTAATGTGAAAGTGTGTGTGTGTGTGTGTGCTGATTCAACATGGCCTGCAGGCTGTCAGGGGAAGCAGAAGCTGCAGCCCAGTGAAACAGGGAGGTGGCGTTTCAAATACCTCGGAGGCATCTGCTTGTCACATGAGAAATTCTTTGTCCTGCAGTAAAACAATCCTCCAGGAGAAGGATTTCAACGGCGGAGCAGGTCGAAGACAAGAGCTGCAATAAGGCTTAAAAAAAAATTAAAAAAAAAATCTGACAGTGGATTTGAATCATCGATTAATTCATTTCTGACAATGATTCACTTTTTTTTTTTTTTTTTACAATATTAATCACTGTTTACAAATGCACTGCATCTTGACAATTTGTTCTATCGTTATTTAAGCTAACGTGTCACGACTGCTAACAAGTGGACCTGTGTGTGTGTGTGTTGCTGCTGCAGAATTAAAACAACTTCACCACAAATCAACCCTCATGGTGTGTGTGTGTGTTTCAGCACGACCGAATAAAACTTCCATTAAAGCTCAAGTTGCCATGACAACTCCACTACCAGCGTGTATGAGAGTCAGAGAGCGAGGAGGAAAGAGGGGGGGATAGAGAGGTAGAGGAGAAAAAAAAAAATCAACTGAAGATCTTCGAGAAAATTATATCATTAAAACAGAAACTCCCGCAGCTCAGTTACATGAGCGGAGACACTCAACACGTTAGCCTAGATTATAACGGATGTTAGCGAGTAAAGGTTCAACAGCCTGGGACTAAATCTCCTCCATACTAAACCACAGTTGTTTAAAGAGTACTAATGCCAAATATTTTCATATTTTCTCTTCCTCCTCTGAAACATTAAAACACCATATTTAAATTCCTGGGCAGTGCACAGACAGGAGTGGAATCATAAAAACCCAGACATGGTTAAATATTAATAAAACAGCAGTTGCAGTAAAAAGTGAGACATGTTTTTTTTTTTCCTCTCCCTGGTCTTTCTCTATGTGACTGTTTAACACCGAGCGTGAAAAATATGAACATGAAGGTTTGGTGCGTGGGCAGAGCAGCAACACGTTCATACAAAAAAACTACATTTCCTGCTGGTCTGCCATCTGCCATCATACACCCACCCCCGTGTATGTACACCGACATGTACAGTAGGCAGGGACATGAGATCACCTGTCATGGCTGCCTGATTCACACTGGAAACAGTAAAAGAAAAAAAAAAGGTCACCACTAATCAACATATAAAAATATATTTTTTCCATATATGGTTTTAGCTGTTTCTTTAAATGTGTGTGTTTTGCAGGACAGTCAATAGTCGTTAACCTTGAATCTCTGCTGTTTATGATCTGAATCTGCTGCAGTTCTCCTTTGTGAAGGCCGGCTTATTTATAGAGCTAGGTTAAGAGACTCAATTCAAAGTCCACTTGGCTAATGCTGCAGACGGGGCGCAACAAATGAAAGCATCCATTCCTGTAAGACAGACAGCCTGCAGGAAAGAACGAGATCAAAAAGAAGAGAGAGAGAGAGTGAGAGAGGGAGAGACTGCTCTCCCTGCACATCACGCACACGCTGCAGGCTTCAGATGAGCCGACATCACAGGGCGGAAGTGAGAAAGTTGAGAGGAATGTCCGAGTCTGCCAGTGTAGCCAACGCTGTGGATCAGAAACTGGCAAAAACATGGGATTCAAACACATCAGAGAAGCAGGGCAGGGGTCAACAAGTCCTGGCCTATAACTCCATTCCAGCCCATTTTGTGCAGTTAGCAAGCAAGCTATCCAGTAAACCACAGTTTTATTAAAAGGAGGGCTGCATTTTTATCTAGCTTCAAAAAAAATATCTCAGGTGACATCCATCATTTAGGATCAGGGAGCAGTGATTGTTTCTACGATCAGACGAACTGTTAAACAAACTCTCAGAGACTTCGTCGGTGTAAATAATAAGTTGGATAACTGAGGCTGCTTAAATAAGCGGATCGCAGTGACGACTGCCATCATTCACTGCCGGCACATGATGAGCTCATTCATGACTGTCATTTAATGTGAAAGTGTGTGTGTGTGTGTGTGCTGATTCAACATGGCCTGCAGGCTGTCAGGGGAAGCAGAAGCTGCAGCCCAGTGAAACAGGGAGGTGGCGTTTCAAATACCTCGGAGGCATCTGCTTGTCACATGAGAAATTCTTTGTCCTGCAGTAAAACAATCCTCCAGGAGAAGGATTTCAACGGCGGAGCAGGTCGAAGACAAGAGCTGCAATAAGGCTTAAAAAAAAAATCTGACAGTGGATTTGAATCATCGATTAATTTTCTGTTCATTCCTGACAATGATTCACTTTTTTTTTTTTTTTTTACAATATTAATCCCTGTTTACAAATGCATTGCATCTTGACAATTTGTTCTATCGTTATTTAAGCTAACGTGTCACGACTGCTAACAAGTGGACCTGTGTGTGTGTGTGTTGCTGCTGCAGAATTAAAACAACTTCACCACAAATCAACCCTCATGGTGTGTGTGTGTGTTTCAGCACGACCGAATAAAACTTCCATTAAAGCTCAAGTTGCCATGACAACTCCACTACCAGCGAGTACGAGAGTCAGAGAGCGAGGAGGAAAGAGGGGGGGATAGAGAGGTAGAGGAGAAAAAAAAAATCAACTGAAGGTGCCGAGGTCAGCGCAGCACAGCTGAAGATCTTCGAGAAAATTATATCATTAAAACAGAAACTCCCGCAGCTCAGTTACATGAGCGGAGACACTCAACACGTTAGCCTAGATTATAACGGATGTTAGCGAGTAAAGGTTCAACAGCCTGGGACTAAATCTCCTCCATACTAAACCACAGTTGTTTAAAGAGTACTAATGCCAAATATTTTCATATTTTCTCTTCCTCCTCTGAAACATTAAAACACCATATTTAAATTCCTGGGCAGTGCACAGACAGGAGTGGAATCATAAAAACCCAGACATGGTTAAATATTAATAAAACAGCAGTTGCAGTAAAAAGTGAGACATGTTTTTTTTTTTTTTCCTCTCCCTGGTCTTTCTCTATGTGACTGTTTAACACCGAGCGTGAAAAATATGAACATGAAGGTTTGGTGCGTGGGCAGAGCAGCAACACGTTCATACAAAAAAACTACATTTCCTGCTGGTCTGCCATCTGCCATCATACACCCACCCCCGTGTATGTACACCGACATGTACAGTAGGCAGGGACATGAGATCACCTGTCATGGCTGCCTGATTCACACTGGAAACAGTAAGTCACCACTAATCAACATATAAAAATATATTTTTTCCATATATAGTTTTAGCTGGTTTCTTTAAATGTGTGTGTTTTGCAGGACAGTCAATAGTCATTAACCTTGAATCTCTGCTGTTTATGATCTGAATCTGCTGCAGTTCTCCTTTGTGAAGGCCGGCTTATTTATAGAGCTAGGTTAAGAGACTCAATTCAAAGTCCACTTGGCTAATGCTGCAGACGGGGCGCAACAAATGAAAGCATCCATTCCTGTAAGACAGACAGC